GGCAGTGAAGGACAGGAAGGCCTGGTGCAATATGGTTCATGGGGTCATGAAGAGTTGGACATGACTTAATGACTGAACAACAACAAAAAAATTAGGGTCATTTTGTTTGTAACTGATTATATTTAGCCAGGAGAATGCAGATGTGAGCTGGATCATTGATCTTGATTTTACGATCTTAGAGATTGGGAAAATGTTTCCAGGAACAGAGTTTCCATGGAGAATATGTAACACAACTTTTTTTTTTTCTTAAAAAGCCCCTCATAATTCTTTGGAAGCACATAGGAAATAATCTGAAAGACCCCAGAGGCTATAACTTGAATATTACTTGAATGAGATGAGGAGCGTGGAGTTGGACTGACTCCCATCAGCTCCAGCCTCAATGACCAAAGATCAGAGATGATGAATGCTGAAATCCAATAATATTTGAGCCACAGGTATCAATCAAGTGAAAAAGTAAGCAAAAGAGAGCAAGGATGGAGCTGAATCTATTTATATAGTTGAAAAAAGAGGCTTCAAGGAGAACAAATTGGAGCTAATAAATGAACACCCTATTTTTTTCATAAATATTTTCTAAGAGATGGTACAGAAAGAGGAATCCAAGTCCTTCTTTCTGCCAGAATTATTCTGAAACATTATAATGCCTAAAAATATGTATTTAAAGTATTTTTTTTTATCAATTGCTCTGCCAGCATATGTCAGTATTCAGTATTACCCCAAGATTCCCAACCATACTTTTTTATGCTACCATCAGGCCAACTTAAAAAAATATGGGAGTACATCTAGACAGTGTATTTTCTGCTTCCCAATCCTTCCAAAGTGTTCTGAAGCCAGCTGGGTATTCTTCTGCTAATTTCATAATGCTAAGAAAAACACAGCCAATCAATGCTGCCTCCTGTTGACCAACAGGAGAGTACTAAAAATGTTATCCAGGAATTTTTTTTGCCCCTTAAGTTATGGCTGCTATTGAAACAACAAAAACAAATACCTCCCCCCCATCCCCCTCATTGCTCCAGCTCCAGATAGAAAAAATAAATTACTATCCCTGCCCTTGTGTTTTCAATACATGCAATACATGTTGGGTCGTTCTGCACAAAAATCTGAAGCAAAAGCTGCCTGGCCATCAAGATGTAATTGTTGCTGCATATGGATTCCCACTGAAAGCTGTGAGGATGGCATAACACTGTGGCTTTGCAGTTAGTTACTTTCTCCAACAATGCAATCCTGGCTGTACAGCCAACTAATAGCTTGAGCCTAGAGTTGGAAGATGGGGTGAGCCAATGGTTTGGTGTATGCTGCCTATACAAACAGTACATTCATATGGCTCCTGCCCTTATGTCATTCAGGAAATTAGTGAAGACCTTGTTATTCTCCCAGTCCTTGGGGACAGGGTGACTGGAACCTGTTTTGTTTTGCTTTGTTGTGTTTTATTTTGGTTTGCTCTGTTTTGTTTTTTATTATTTTGTATTTCTGGTCGGTTGTATTTTTATATATTGCTTTTTAAGTTGTAAGCCACTCATAGTTGTTTAGGAGTCAGGCAGATTATTAAATAAATACGTAATTTAAGTTGAAAGAGTGTTGTTTTTACAGAGATTGTGAAACTGACTAGAAGGATTCAGACTGACTTGCTAATAAGGTTGCCTCAGAAATCTAGAGGATTCAGAGGCAGCGGAAGGCAGGGTGGGGAACAAATTCCTGAAGACCAGAGAACAGGTGGTCTCTAAGCCCTACAGAGCTCCTTTACTGTGACTTGCAAAATAGAAATTTTGCTATGTGAACTGCACTACAGCCAAATCAGAAGCAAATTAGTTTGGCTGCCCAAGGATGGCACTGTGAGAATATAGCAGTGTAGCACTGCTGCCAGATCAGCACAAATGGAGCATGTGGAAAGTCCTTTTACATTAATGAATTTCCATCCTGTATTCCTTCACAGATGGCTCCAGATGTTTTTCAGCAATGTGTCATAATGCAGTGTATACGAAGGGCAGGGTTTTCCTGGAGTTTTGAGCTATACATATCATGCTTTTGTTAAACTGACAGAAGTAGTAGACATTTTAATTTATGATTTTGGCCTTAGAATAGTTATATACTCCCTAAGTGATAAATTACAGAAATATTATTCCTAATGGCCTATTGCTCATGTTTTACATATATCCCAGCAATTATGCAGTTGCTTGGAACAAATGGGCAGATTTATTTATTTATTTAAATTTATTAGGTGTCCAACTCCAATGGACTCAGGTCCCAAATTTCTATTTGCGTTAGTTTTATATTGTTTTCTCGTGTAGAATACCATGTGTTGCTTACTTAGTACCTTCACAGATTCTTTTCTGCAGTTTTGCAGTGATCTCTTCCATGGCTTTGAATTCCTCAGCATAAAAAACATGTTTTTCAACAGGATCAGATGCAATTGTTTGTAATTCTTCCTCAATTGATTTCCCTATTCCAACAGCATATATAGTGATTCCTAAAAAAGAAACAAGTTTAATTTCGTAATACAGTTCAAGATTGAGATATAGCATTAAGGCACCATTAATTAATAGAGAAGAATTGGATTCAAAGACTTATCTTCAGTATTTAAAAAGTAACAACAATAAATGCAAGGGTTCTAATTCAGATGAAGCTAGTTGTACTTAATGTTATAGAAATCAGTTGGGTATATTAATTCTGAATAACATAAGCCCCATTCTTTTCATGTATCATGATCTTTCTCTGGGTTGAAACCAAAATATAATGCCCCTCACATTTCTTATTAAGTTGGTTATATCTAATTGGTTTTGTGTACAATATGGATTTAGTCATTGCCTATTATCATTGTTACTATGATTGACAATGACAATCGGGGAGTCTCAAGTTTAAACAAATTCATTTAGACTGGCATTCTATGGACCAGTTCACTCATAAGTGTTTCAACATTTTATATTTTTATCTAGTTGTTATGGATCACTGTGTTCTCCAACTTCCTCTAAATATGTTTGGATTACAACTGCCAGAATTCCCAGTCATCATGACCAGCAAACATACTGCTTGAATTCTGAGAATGTTAGCATCTAGAAGGTTCTAAGTTGGAGAAGGTTGTTCATGAGACAAATCTGGATAACATTATAATCTAAAACCCAATTGCTTGCAATGTATCTATCCCTCCACCCTAAAATCTTCCCTAGAAACACAGGTGCCTGATCCAATAAAAACAACAAAGGCCTGTTTCCAGATTTCATGCGAGCAGACTTTCAATCATTGGACATTCCTGCTGCAGGAAGACGTAATTTGTACCAATTCTCCTTTTGCTCATTTGGAACATGTAGAAGGTAGTGCTGGCATTCTGCAGGAGAATCAGCCAAGATTGCCTTCCTGTTTTCCTTCTGGGAGAGACTTCACTGCATTTCATTTTCTTCTGAAAATAAAGGAACTCTTCTATGTATAAAAGAAATGTTCTAGAGCCAACCCAGAGTCTGATTATATCTTATTTATTTATTTTGCCACAGAGAGGCCTAAACCAGGGACCAATGATAAATCTGTTAAACAGGATTTAGCCCATGAAAAGTTAGGTCACAATAAATATCTTAGGTTTAATGATGTAATCAAATCTGATTTATCCACACAATCCAACTATGTTGGGTTATAGTATTTATAAAACAAGTATTTTTATTTCCCTTGAAAACATGCTTCTTAAAATGTTTTATTATCATTTAAGATTAAATTTATTTTTTATTTTAAACCCAATTACCATCATATTATATTTATACAAGTTTTTTTTCATCTTTAGCAGCATGCCCAATGTCGCAATCCATACTTGCCATTAAATATGTAATATAACACTATAAGGACTCTTTTATAACAGTTGCTGTGCTTAGTTTAGCTTGCTTTAGATATTCATTATGATAAGGCATTTTACAAATCATCATATATTATCCTGTTGACATATGAATCTACCCCCAGTTTTGTGGAACTCCTGGTTCCTATCAATATAGTTTAAAAGCCTGGAATCCAATGCCCTTTTATTTGGGAACAAATCCCGTAAGACCCAATCATACAGAGCTTACTTCTGAACATATATAATATATATGGACATTAAAAATCTATTTTGTGTAGTTTTGATTCAATATTTTAAAGTTATGCTGGTTTAAAACTACTTTCAGAGTTTTAGGAGGACTTACAACTATGTTATTCCAGTGTTATTGGTTTATACTGCTATTTTAACTTCATTGTAAAACAATTTGATTGTTTATGTTGTATATTATACTTTATATGAGTGTCTCACAAAGGCAATGTAGAAATTAATATATTTCATTAATATATTGGGGTTTTGTTTAGCGATCATTCAGTTTTCAGTCAACAACAATTTGTACAGTGGGGCAAAAAAGTATTTAGTCAGCCACCAATTGTTGACCAAATACTTATTTTCCACCATGATTTGCAAATAAATTCTTTAAAAATCAGACAATGTGATTTTAAGTAGTTACAGGTCTGTGAGAGCCAGACATCTTGCTTGTTTGTAGGTGACCAAATACTTATTTTCCACCATGATTTGCAAATAAATTCTTTAAAAATCAGACAATGTGATTTTAAGTAGTTACAGGTCTGTGAGAGCCAGACATCTTGCTTGTTTGTAGGTGACCAAATACTTATTTTCCACCATGATTTGCAAATAAATTCTTTAAAAATCAGACAATGTGATTTTAAGTAGTTACAGGTCTGTGAGAGCCAGACATCTTGCTTGTTTGTAGGTGACCAAATACTTATTTTCCACCATGATTTGCAAATAAATTCTTTAAAAATCAGACAATGTGATTTTAAGTAGTTACAGGTCTGTGAGAGCCAGACATCTTGCTTGTTTGTAGGTGACCAAATACTTATTTTCCACCATGATTTGCAAATAAATTCTTTAAAAATCAGACAATGTGATTTTAAGTAGTTACAGGTCTGTGAGAGCCAGACATCTTGCTTGTTTGTAGGTGACCAAATACTTATTTTCCACCATGATTTGCAAATAAATTCTTTAAAAATCAGACAATGTGATTTTAAGTAGTTACAGGTCTGTGAGAGCCAGACATCTTGCTTGTTTGTAGGTGACCAAATACTTATTTTCCACCATGATTTGCAAATAAATTCTTTAAAAATCAGACAATGTGATTTTATAGTTGAGGTATACCTATGATGAAAATTACAGGCCTCTCTCATCTTCTTAAGTGGGAGAACTTGCACAATTGGTGGCTGACTAAATACTTTTTTGCCCCACTGTATATTCTATATAGTTTCTGCATTATATGGAACTAGCTAACAATTGGCAATACTGACAAACGAGTTTTGCTGCAGATGTGCAGGCCCTCATTCCCATCCTACCCGAGAATGTGGCTTTGGAAACTGAAAGTTTATATTGAATTCAGGGGGAGATTTCCAAACTGTCTTTAATGTCAAATAGTATGCGTTTCACTCTTAGAGATTGTCCAGCACCTTTCTTCTAGGAGAAATTAATAAAAATCTCTAGATTAAAAACAAGGTACAGTGCATTCTGAAAGTATTCAGACCCCCCTTCACTTTTTTCAATTTTGTTATGTTGCAGCCTGATACTACAATCGTTCAAATTCATTTTTTTCCTCATTAATCTACACTCAGTACCCCATGACAAAGTGAAGCATTCTGAAAGTATTCAGACCCCCCTTCACTTTTTTCAATTTTGTTATGTTGCAGCCTGATACTACAATCGTTCAAATTCATTTTTTTCCTCATTAATCTACACTCAGTACCCCATGACAAAGTGAAAACAGAATTTTAGAAATGTCTTTAAATTTATTAAAAAGAAAAAACTGAAATATCACATGTACTTAAGTATTCACACCCTTTACTCAGTACTTTGTTGAAGCACCTTTGGGAGTAATTACAGCCTCGAGTCTTTTTTGGTATGATGTGACAAGCTTTGCACACCTGGATTGGGGGATTTTCTGCTATTCTTCTTTGCAAATCCTCTCAAGCTCAATCAGGTTGGAAGGGAACCGTCAGTGGACAGCCATTTTCAGGTCTCTCCAGAGGTGTTCAATAGGGTTCAAGTCAAGGCTCTGGCTGGGCCACTCAAGGACATTCACAGAGT